TGGGTGCATATGCCTGTATAATAGACCAAGGTTTCTTATATCCTGGTAGTTTCACATTAAGAATTGCTAATCTATCAGATGTAAATATTATGTATATATAAATATGTACTAGCTGAACAGACAGACTTTGTGTTTGTTCTGCCCCTGCGTACGACACTGACTCATAATTGGGCGGAGGCAGTAGAGTCCAAGGATCGCGTTTGGCACAAAGCGCTTCTTTCGAAGCTCCGTTTCTATGGACTTCTCGAGAAATAGTGCAATTGAATCACCAGCTTTCTTACAGATCGGAGCATCAAGGTCGTTGTAGGCGGTGCATGTTCCGATTACAAGCCTATTAATGCTGGCGTTCCACAAGGCTGTGTTCCAAAACGCTGTTTCTTCTGCATATCAATGATATGTTACCAAACATTCATTGCTGTGCGGATACAGCACTGTACACCGGCTCTGTACACTGGCTGTGCCAAAATTTCTCGGAAAAACGTCTCCGAGTAACGAGACAAACTTGTATCTGAAGTCGAGTCTATGCTGAACAAAGTCTCGGATTGGGGACTAGTTTAGTTTAATCATCCTCAGAAGACACAAGTTTGCGCGTTTACCACTAAAAAGAACCCCTTCGTCAGCCAGTATCGGAATCCTCGGCGTAAATATATCGAGTGACGTGCAGTTTCGTGGTCACTTGGAAGAGAAGTCTAAATTGACTTTTAAAAAGCTTGGCGTGCTCAGCAGAGCGGGACAGTATTTCGTGCCGGCACACCGCCTGCAACTTTTACAAGGCGCAGGTTCGGCCTCACTTGGAATACTGTTCCTATCTCTTTGCTAGGGCTCGCTAGTGCCAGCTCCTTCCATTTAACCGCATCCAGCGCAAGACGGCTCGAATCGTCGACGACCGAGTGCTTTCCGATCGGCTCGATTCACTAGCGCTGCGAAGAGATGTTGCGTCTCTTTGCATTTTCTTTCGCATCTACCCTGGGGAATGATCTGAGGAATTGTTTTTGGATTAATCCCAGCCGCCAAATTTCATAAACGCGCATCGTGGCAAAACTCCCGATACTAATCACACCATAGACAGAGAAAGCTATAGACTACTGATTAGTGTGGCCTCGAGTGAGAAAGGACGATAACATAGGTAGACAGAGAAATTCTCTGTCTACGGTTTTAGGTTATACTATAAATCTTTATGACTTTTAATGATATTTAGATAAAATTTAAACGTATATTTATATAGTTCTGTAACAAAATTTAAATACAATTGAATTTTATACGTAATACTAGATAAAATGTACTATTCTTATGAGTGAAATGATATACCGGTGAGTTTACGTTCACTATCACATACATCCTAAGACACTACATCTAACTATTTTTAAAGTTTTTTATTGCTCTCAGAACTGAACTGAACAAGATTCACCTATCTTAAGCTCACAAAACACTTTTTTTCTCACTTAACCAACTTGTAAACTCCTTAGATCGCTACGAACTGTCAAAGTTGTTTAGCAAAGTGTAGTAGTTTGGTGAACAAAAAATCGGCACGGAGAAAGGGACAAACAATCACACCGCTCTGTCTCATTTCTATGCAAGACGTATGCATGTTTTTCGTGTGCGAATACGAAAGAAGTCGTCAATTTGTCTATAGGTTTCTCTGTCTACGATTCACACCATCTGGATGCTTGGCAGTACACCACTGTACGTTTCACTAAGAGTTTTCTTCCGGGTTTAAGTGTTTACCACCGGTGACTTTCTCGGACCGATACGACTTAGGGACCTTCAAGAAAAAGAGTTTACTACTTTCTAAAGACCGATTTACACTTCGACAAGTACAGTAGCGAGTTAACTTGCGAACCTGGCGAGTTAAATTTGAACCTTGTTTGAACGGCAATAAGCGAGTTAAGTAGCAAGTTAACGATTAAGTTGAACGGGATAGCCGGCCGAGCTATTTTTCGGCGAGTTAAGTGCGAAGTGCTGCCCTCCCGCGCGTCTCCCGCCACCTGCAACTAAACTCGCCGTTCGTGTAAACGAGCGAGTTTAGTTCAGTGCATAAGTTATATTATATATATTAAGTTACAGGACGCAACGTTTGCGCGCCAAAACGTACAATTGTACTTTTATAATGAAACTCTCCTCAAAGTTTGTACAATACTGATTATTGAATATTTATACGTTTTATATTGAGTTTTAATTAAAATGGACGGAAGATATCACGTATAAATTTGTACAGGAGTATCTAGAATACGAATGTTTATATTATAGTAGAAGTTCATATTGTAAAATTAAACCTGCTCGAGATGCTGCATTCATGAAAATTATTAAAAACTTTAACAACAACCATTAATACTTCTCTGACTATGATCATTTAAGTCTTAACGTAATCCTAGAACCATTTGAAACGAAAACCGTAAAAATTCTGTTGTCTTGAAACGTCATACACCAACGAACTCTATGAACTAATGTTCTTAACTAAACTCGCCACGAAGACATTGGGTGCGTTTGGCAGAAAAAAGCGCTAGCAAGCGCTTGTAAGCAAAATGGCAATCGTAAGCGGTAAGCGCTGTCAAATTGTAAGTAGCTATTTTCCTCTAGGACACGATGTTAGTTTTAACCGGGGAACCTAACCTAATTTAAATATATGTTTGTGAAGTATGAACTTTTAATAACATGTATATGTCTATTCATGTCATTATATTACTTAAAACTAATATTGCAAAAAACAACTTATAAACTCTACTTCAAAACAAACAAATTAAATAAGCAAAATGGCGGATTGTGTCAGCGCTACTGAAGTAGCAATCGTGTCCTGGCCGACAACTATTTTAGCGCTAGTAAGCGCTTGCTAGCGCTTTTTTCTGCCAAACGCACCCATTGTTTGAACGCTACTGCCCACTTAACCGTTTAATGTCAACTGTCCTGTAACTTAACTCGCTACTGTACTTGTCAAAGTGTAAATCGGTCTTTATAGACAGGCAACGCACCTGCTATCTCCTTGGTGTTGCAGTTGTTAATGGGCGGCGGTAGTCACTTAATACTCAGGTGAGCCATTTGCTCGTTTGCCCCCTATAAAAAATCGTTATAAAAACTACCCTATCTCTCGAATTGGAGCAATACAAGTTTCAATATTTAATTAAAATCGGTTGAGCGGTTTCGGAGATTAGCGTGAGCGAATATCGTGACACGAGATTTTTATATAATACTAGCTTGCCAGGCAGACGTTTTTCTGCCCTTTTCGACGACAATTTGTCATGTCCTATTAAAAATAATTAAATTCGCAAAAAAAATTGTGGGCAAAAAAACTATCCTATTTCTCAAGTTGGACCAAACTGCACACGGTGTGCAAATTTGATTAAAATCGGTTAAGTAGTTTAAGAGTCCATCGTGGACAAACAACGTGACACCTAATTTATATATATTAAGATATAAGATATCAAATAACTGCCAATCGATAACCTAGTACATGATATTATTTGATGCAATGAATTCGTCTATTTTTAATGTCAATGTGGCGTTTTGTAGTGACAGTGTAAGAATATCCACTAGCCCACATCATCCTGTGGATGTCGTAAGTGGCGACAGAGAGAAACTGAATCACGAGACCGGCGGCAGCATCTTCCTGATAACGTGTCAATAAAAATAACTGCGGTCGTCAGCGCGCTCGCCGAGCGTGGCAGCTACGCCAAATATCCCTCCTATGAGGCAATCTATGAAGGATGCCTATTTTCAACAGTTTGATAAATTGTTTTAATAAACTTAAAAGTAAAGCCTCATTTACATTCAGCCACTGCCACTGCTCCTCGCGCTGCCGGCAATACTTCGCTAAATACTGCCGTAGCAGGATCGCGGGAAGTGTGTATTTACACTCTGCCCTACCACTCACATCACTTTCGACTATGGCAGACGTCGAAATAATTACAGCGTCCGCGCTGTGTCTTCTTGCAATACAAAATGAAAGATATCAAGTTCAAAAGTAGATAGATAGATAGATAGATAGAAAATTTATTTGCTTAAAAACATGGTACATAAGATCATCAATGACGTGGAACTGACATGTTTTGCCATAATTAGCATGCAAAAATGATATGAAATACAGCTAATTACACAAACCCAATTGCATTGCTTAAAAGTTAGGTACAAACATTCTTTTTGAATTCAAATATTATGTAAAATTAAATACTTATACAGATCCACTCTATTTGAATTCATGTACAATAAATTGTTCATAAATTATTAATTAATTATTTACAAAAATAAATATTATAGAATTAAGCTATTATATTTTTATAATTACACTTCAGTATAAATAATTCATAATTTTAATTACAATAAAATTATAATTAAAAAATCTCAGGCTATTATGCAAATATAACCATTTAACTTATTTTACATTTTAATAAATAAATAATCAATATGAATTACTAATCGTTTTTAGAAATGAAATGTCAATGTTCATTAATTCCTTAAACTAAATTTTATATTAATATAATAAATTTGACGAATTTATAATTAATTATGTACATAGGTACTATGTTATCTCAAAAAAGAAAATTCGTATTCGTAGAAGATGATGAATTGTGGTTTTTATCGTTGAAATCCCATATAGTTGTTTCTGATTCCGTTCAACAGTTCTGAAAACTTTATTGTATTTTCATTATTCCACTCGAAAGGCATTTTGGTAGATCGTACTTATTTAATAACAAGACGGCACGCACGTCCGTTCATCCAGGCGCTTGGCGCGAAGTGAGCGATGGAGCTGAATGTGAACACTCACTGCCGCTCGCGCTGCCCGTCCTTTGACTTCGACTTTGAGGGATCGTCGGGCAGTGGCAGCGGCAGCGGCAGTGTCAGCGCGAGTAGCCTGTTTACAAACTGCCCTGCCCGCTGACCTGCTCACTTCCCTGCCCAACAGGGCTGAATGTAAATGGGGCATAAGAAAGTTCAATCAACATTCCAAGGACTTTTTTTAATGTCGGTGAATGAAATGATTTTCTTGTAATAATAATTTTTATTTTCAGTAAACATCGTTGAGCCAAAGGAACGGAGAATAATTTAAACTGTACATTATGATGATGCGCTGTGAAGATGCACGTGTATTTTATATGTGTATTAATTAAATTTTCATGTAAGTACTAAATTATTTTGATAATAAATATTTAAAGACACTTCCTCGCTTAAAAAGTAATTTAAAATAAATATAAAAAGATGGTGTGTTATATTAGATTATAATTATTTGATGTTTATTTTTTGCATGCTTTTGAAGGACTTTTAGTGATAATTATATTTTAAAGTTTCATTCTAACGGTTAGAATGCAATAACTGTAGTATTCGAGAATGATACGATGCAGGTTAGTATCAACCCTAAAAGTCGGCAATATGCCCAACAGCATAGTACAACATAGTAACAGCATAATCGGTCGTCGAAAGCTATCGTAAGAAGAATCAAAACGTACCTATTGTAAGAAATTCTGTCCTCTTTTAGCACTAAAAGTTCTTCATTAGATCGCAGGCCTATATAATATTGTTTTCTAATATCTTGTAAAAGTCTTACATAATTTGATGACCGTATGTCGGTACTATCGCACTGTCTAGTCAAGATAATGTTTGAACTAATGTTTGTATATTGTTCTATCATTTATTTAAAGCATTATTCCGACTGATAACTTGTTAATGATACCATAGCAACATTTATTATGCACATAGAAAAGTATACATTTATTATTAATAAAAAAAGCTCTTGTCTATTTTTGGATAAGGTGCAAGTTTGAGCACAATATACCTACTATTCTTTACCAATTTTTAAATTAAACATAGTTGAATATGGATGGAATAAGATTAAGCAATTCATTCCTTAATGATATTAGCACTGAAGTCTGATGTATTATAAAAACATTTCGTGCATATTTAGCTAATCAGCGTAAATGTGATAGATTGGTATATTATGCACTTTGTGTCTATAGAGTAGTAAGGTGTGATTAGTTATAACAATGAAAGAGGTGCGTCGGCCAACTTTAAGGTTGTGTGCTATTTTATAATAGATATATATGCATTCAGTAAATTGTTTTTTGGCATTCTGAAAATCTATCGAGTGTGAATGTACTTCGCTATTGGTACCATGAATTGTCCCTTACGATATGTAATTGGATTAATGTTGAATCTCAAAAATTGTCGTTTTTATTAAAATTCCATTATGATAAGGTAATCTCGTATGCTTGAAATGTTTAACATTATATAAACCCATTGAAATAAATTTTATGATAATATAATGTAAATATATTTGTGTAACTTTCCCTACATCAAGCATACGGGAGTACTTATCTTACGAGTTTTAAAATTAGATAATGTCCAATTAAATGGTTATTTGAAAGGAAAGTTTGTTCATGTAATGTATTTTTATGCAATACTAGTTGTAAGTGTTACGTTATTTTTATCTAATTATTTATATCGACATTGGTGATGAAATACTTTTGGACTATGCATCGTTTGAAAGCAGATAGCGATAGTTTTTTTTATATGTATTAATATGTTTAGAATATTAAATTGCAAACTATGGTATGGTTACTGTAATAATAATAGTATTGGCAATTTCCCTTTTAAAAAAAGTTGCTCCTGCTCATTGCTGTGTTAAGATAGGCTTGGAGTCATAATTATAGTATTCAGAGTAACCAAACACTGATTATAATTACCATTACGTGAAGGATAAAAAATCTTAATACTAGTACTTTGCTTTTGATATGATCCTTTTATGCATGGTTAAAGTAAAAAGCTATCTGTTTGGTCTTAATTATTTCACTGTAAAGCAGTCATATCTTTTCTGTAAAATAATTTAAGTATCGTAAGGTTTTAAAACAACTGTTATGGTTTATTAAGAATGTCCAATATTTAAACAATGCAATTTTTTATTTATTTAACAAAACAAATATAGTTAACCATATCGCTAACTTGCTTCTAGTACTATGAGGAATCCATTGATTTCAACCAAAGTATACATTAAAATAATGCAAAGAAATTCATACCTACCCTCACTATAAATAAACACGAGGTGTATGATGAAGGATATAATGCCATGTTTCTCAAAATGGGGTTATAAAACAGTTTTAATTATGATTTATAATAAACATTATCGCTCAACCATCAACAATTAACAAATCAAAATTAATTTGACAAAAGTGGCGTAAACGAACTGGTTAGTGTAACCTAATACTATCACTTGGTATACGCACATTAAATCATAAACTAATGAATTAAGGTCAAGATTCGGTTAATTTTATAAAAAGTACATTCGACCCCATTGTCTTCTACCACATAATATTGTTCCCTTAATTAGACTGAAGCTTTCACTACCCATCAAGGCTAACAAACAACTGTCAAAAAGGAAACGGGAAATCTCTGTTTAATTTGTTTATTACTGTACCATTTTCTTTTAAATTGTAAATACATGTAACACTAAGGGGTAAAATGTATGATAAGAATCTATGATTATAAAATTTGTTTTATTTAAATCTCCTCTTCTGTAGTTATGCTGGAACCGCGGCAACAGCAGCCACTCTCACATATGCCAGTTATTTTGATTGGGGAGCATTTATTCCTTACAGGTTTTTTTACTACTTTTTTATGCTTCTTAATATTGCAATTGCAATCTATTTTACTACCTACAGTAGATTTGTTTCTTTCTTGAGTTCTATTCAAGGATTCAAAAGAACCACTTGCCTGATCATTGTATGTGGAGATGATTTTGTCAGAAGTGCGAGCGTTGGACGAACAATCACAGTAGCTGTTATCTCTTGTCTGTGTTTTTACTTTGTTAGCGCCAACTTTCGAATGTGAATGTTCAGATTGAACTCTGTCTTTAACTTCTTCAACTGACATACAGCATTCAACTTGATCGGAATTTTTTTCGTTCGCAAATTTCACTTTTTCATTCAACGACCCGCAGTGGCACGGCTTACCGCAGACAACTTCGTAATGGCAGACTGTGTTTCTTACTGGTGTATCAATCTGAACACTAGCAGTAGACTTTTCTGGTTGATTCAAATATCGCAAGTTAGGATAAAAATAATGAAGATCTGTTGTCGATGTCCAATTGTCATTATGAAACTGAAAATTTATGGTTTTTAATAATTTAACGTTTACTTGAATTTGATTTGTCACAGTAATTTAAATTGATGTGCGTTCATTTTTCTCGACAAATGAATTACCAATTCTCCAATTGACCAAATTAATTTAGTCGAAAACGGTCGAGTAAGGATAGTTTCCGTACATCAATACGAGTAATTGTATGTCTATTGTCACGGCAAACGTACTTCACTCAAATGGTTATAGGTACCAAATTAATACCTTGAAATATTATGTTTTACTAACTGTAGTGGGGGTGCAAGAGTATACACTACCCCATATCAACCCATGGGTGTCGTAAGAGGCTAGACAAAAACTAAAACATAGGCAGCAACATCTTCCCAATAACACTTTTCAAAATTTCTAAACAAAACAATAAATAAATGCAGTTACTAGCCCGCCTTTGTGGCAACATTGCTAATATCTCCCTGAGGTGATCCATAGGCGAGGCCTATGTTAAGCAGTAGGTAGGCTTTTAAAGGCTAATGTATGTCTTGTAATGTATGACTTTGCTGTAAAAAACAGAAACTTTTTTATTCATTGAAGATTATAAACAATACTTATTGAAAGTCAATTTTTTCATTTACCACTGGTTCGCAAAAAAAATCCTCTGTCCTGGGAAGAACCAGCAAGAAACCCAGCGGGACTATTTTTTTAAATAATAGCTTACAATCATGTTTACAATTAACAACACAAGACAAATTAGAAAAAGCTCGGTAGCGATCACCCTTCCCAGGGGTTATTATCATCCATAAATTCCTTAATATTATAATAAACCTTTTATACAAAGTTATATAATACAGTTAGTTTAATAAAATTTTTGAACTTTGCGTATGAAAAATTTTGTATATTTTCTGGGATTTTGTTGTAAAAGCGTATACATCGCCCCAAGAATTAATTACTGACTCGGTGGAGTCGAAAGCTTTTGTACAAAAACCTAAACATCAGACGGACTTAACCGCATTCCCACAAGGCTGTGTGCTATTCCTAACGTTGTTTCTATTGCATATCAATGACATGTTGCAAACCGATAACATTAATTGCTGTGCAGATGGCAGCACGGGTGAAGTTGATGAGTGAAAGTTATACAAATGTGTAAGAAGTAACATTAGAAAATTTTTACTGATATTTAGCTTAGTGAAAAGTTTGAAGGTAAATATTTAGCATATAATATATTGGTTGAATTTAATGATGTGTGTGTGCTGCAGGTTCTGTTAGGGTTGCAGCACGAATTAGTCAGCTCGACCCGGGAACAACCACGCTCTCACGTAATACCACTTTTAAATAGCTGCTTAATGCTGCTGTTTCGAACCTGAACCTTTGTGAATCTGAAATGATGTTTATTGGTAATAAGGGTAATTTATCTCAGTTCTCAGGCGTTCCAACACATTTATATTTTTATTCTTAATCGAGGATAAACCACCAGAAATACATATATAGACTAAACTTGTCAGTATAGTAACATTTTTTACAGAATAAAATTCTGTTTGAGCACCGTAAAGGGTCAGTAAGTACAAGTAAGGCGGGGAGTTTGGCTTTTCTTTCGCGACTGCATAATTGAATATCAACATTCTCTATTCGCGGCCGTCGCTCTATACAGCGGCCATGCCAGTATTTCTCACAACAACAAACAAACTTGTGTTTTAAAAGTCGAGTCCTTGATGAACAGTCTCGGATTGCTGGCTACTAAATCAAGTCTAGTTCAATCCCAAGAAGACAAGTCTGCGCGTTTGCAACTAAAAAGAACCCCTTTGTCGTATCTACTCAATTACAAGGCACTCCCCTTCTTGCCTCAGCCAGTATTGGAATCCTCGGCGTGGACATATCGAATGATGTTCAGTTTCGTTGTCACTTGGAAGTGAAGGCCAAATTTGCTTGTAAAAAGCTTGAAGTGGTCAACAGAGCGGGATCATAGAATACTATAATACATACATAATAGAACGGGGGAGTGGGCGGAGCCCGTGTAGCCTGTCTAAAATGTCACTAACATGTCAATTCACACGTATAAATGTCAGCACGAGATGTGTTTTGACGTAACAATCGTTTCCAAATTTCGCATGCAAATTATTTAGAAAATTGCACACTATTTAGATATAAATATGTATTAAAATTTAAAAGATTTTTAATGATGATTTTGAACATCAAAAGTCTAAAATGTGTAAATTTACTCAGTCTGTCAAAACAGCGAATCGGGTTTGTAGTAGTGTTAATACGACGTAATTGCTTGTATGTGTGCTCCCGGCGACGCCGATCCTCGTACAAAATAAGTTTGACAGCCATTCTATTGTGTATTATAGTATTCTATGAGCGGGACTGTATTTCATGCGCCTGCATGCTTGCAACATTACAAGGTTACAAGGAGCCATACGTGGAATACTATTCATTTCTGGCCCTACGCAGAGCGGCTCGAAGTGATCCTCTCCGATCGGCTCGATTTACTAGCGCCGTGAAGGGATGTTGCATCCCTTTGCATTCTCTATCGCATCTACTACGGAGATTGCTCTAAAGAATTGATCGGATTAATTCCAGCCGCCAAATTTCACGAACGTACATCGCGACCAAACTCACGATACATCTACACCATCTGAATGCTTGGCGATCCACCATTGTACGTTTTACTATGGATTTTCTTTCTCGTACGACCCCTCTGTGGAATCATATACCTCCGGCGATTTTTCCGAACCGATTCGACTTAGGGATCTTCAAGAAAAGAACTTACTCCTTTCTAACAGGCCGGCAACGCACTTGCAATTCCTTTGGTGTTAGTTATTCATGGGCGGCGGTACTTACCATCAGGTGAGCCAAATGCTCGTTTGCCGCCTATAGTATAGTATGCGACAAACCTTATCGAACCTATGATAATACTAAAGGCTCGGCAGCGCTGTAGGGTTAAGCGTTTGGTTGTAGAGCTCCACGACGAATATGAGCTACATATAATCTCCTCCACAATATGAAAGGAATTCTAAATAAGAAAAATATGTAAGAAAGAATTTGCCAAGTTTTTAGACATAGTTCCTGTCTCGCCTGCTCACATCTGGCCACTGGCAAACGAATGATGATTAAATATCCATAACAAAAACCAATAAGCCAATAACCCATAAACTGGCTATGGGAACATGTTATGATAACATGAGTATTGGCTCTGTAGTCACCAACACACCCGCTCAGTTTGGTGAGCATAGTAAAAACTTTCCGAAAGATTTGCGAGATCTTGACAAATAGATATTGTTATAGATATAAACACAGATAATAGAGCGCTCAAACACTGAATTCGTTTAAAAAACCGGTTAAGAAATATAATCTTTCCCTCTGTTATCTTCCATCCATTACCCTATAATTTTTATGATCACTGAATCATAGTATTATTTATAGTGCTCCCTACCCATAAATTTGTTTCCCATTTTCTCTTTTTGTAGGTTGTTTGGAGAAAATGGCGGTGAAGCTTTAGCAATAAGACTTTTTGTTTGTATATTTATAAAGTAACGTTTGTTTTTCTTTTGAGTCCAATAGACAGTATTTAAAAAAAATACTTATTAGTCCAATTGATTGGTTTACGGCCGATTGAAAAGCAAAACACTCATTTTAAACTTACCTTATTATGAAATCCTAAAGGCGAAAAATTGGGGTTAAAATCAGAGGGAAAACAGCTTGTAATGAAAGGATCTCCATATGCCCTCTGAAATTCTTGACTAAAACAGTAAGGCATACTGAAAAAAAAAGATTAGCTTTATAAATTATGACTTATACCGTATAATATATTGAACCCTGTGTTTAATTGTAAATGAATTGACTAAGTACTCTTTATTACTGTTTCATTTAATATAATATTATAAAAAGTGGTATGTTTGTGCTTCGTGTTCCCGTGATCTGTAAATTTGTTCAGAATCGAAAATCGCGTTTCGAATACTAGTTTTTAAGTTTTAGGTGTCTTTTGTAAGCTTTAAATGGCTTCCGTTTAGTTTTACTATGACCAAAAATGTTACATGAAGTAATTTGGCTTAAAAACTGAGGGCTAATTATTTGTTTTACGAAAAAAATGAAAACAATGTAGGTATGGCGCAGGTACAAAAAATAAGTGTAACCCTGGAATCGTAAAATTGCGCGTTATATCCTTCCGGGAGTTTATAGTACTAATTATTTAACATTTCAAGCTTAAATAACGACACTTAAATCTATCTTCAAAACGCGATTTTCGATCATGTGTGGGCCGCGAGCCCGTGAGGTCTAATCCTGCACGAAACAATAGGTATTTGTACGACCTAAAAATGAATGTTCCGGGTCCGGGTATTTGTCAATGAGCAATTTATGTATATGCTGAGTGAAAATAATCTTACAATGGATAACTTTCAAAACATTCTAAAGTTCCAGCACTTTCTTCAATTCCAATGTATGTATAAAAATATTTCAGAAAACCTCGAGGCCTCCATAAGAAAATCTATATAGTTGTAAATGATGTTGGAATATGTCTTAATATCGGAATAACTGCTTTCTCTTGAGCTCAGCTAAAGTAACTATTTCAAAATATATCTGTCTGTACGTCTGTACGTAAATACTTTCCAAACTCTCGTGCTAGCCTCCACGAGCCCGAAGTAACTCTGATACGTTAAGATTAAAGCGTTGGCTATAATTATTGAGACACTGAGCGGATAACAACGCCGTCATACTTGAAACCTACCAATTTGTTTTTGCACAAATGTGACGAACTCAGGATGTTGAAAAACACAAGACCACTCAATTATCGATCGATTGTTACAAGACAAGAACTTATAAGATTAGTTACTTACGGATTCGGGATATTTCGTACAAACCACGCTTCATTCGTCTGATTTCGGTTTGAGTTTATTGAATTGGGATTGTAAACGTAGGCTGACCAGGGATCACGTTTATGAGTTGGGATGAAAATATATTGAATGCTGCCATTAGGAAAAACTACCGATGTTACTTCGCCCTCGCCTATTATTTCTGGATACGATGGTCCAATATTTTGCGAAGCTAAAACAGAGTATCGTGGCATTTGTATGATATTCAAGCTTAAAAAAGGGTGAGGTTTGAACACCTGTTAAATACTTTTGCGTTGCTTATCTATATAAATAAAATGATACGAGGTTTGCAGTTGTGCGCGCATCACGGAAACCTACTTGATAGATTTCAATTAGGTTTTTTTAATTTTTATTTCTTAGACACCCTGCCTTATCATTTATTGCGATATCTTCATTTAATATAAAGTTATTAAAGTTAAAAAAAAAACGATTTTTATAAGCACTACGTGTTCAGTGAACAGTCTATGCAATGATGAACATTGTTTCCAAAAGTCTTTACTTTGTGGCGGGCTACAAGAATCCACTACACCATTACACCATATCATGCCTTGGGTGTCGTAAGAGGCGACATTGAAGTTGATACATGAGATGGGCAGCAGCACAATATAATAAAAACACAAAATAATAATTATCGACGGCGGCTGCCAATCCGTCTGCAAAGTGTGACGACTATGGCAAACATCATCCCTATCAGGCAAGCTATGGGGAAGGCCTTGTTGAGTGAAGGTTTTGTTTAGCAATAGGCTTTTGATATTATGCTTCGTTTCTACATTACATAAACAGCCTTGCTGATCCATGCCATCCACTTTCTATGTAAGCGCTAGCTGGCAAACGTCATCTGTGAGATTTGCCCACTCATACCGCCACCATGCACGCAGACAAGATGATGAGCGAAGAGCCGACACACTTTCGTACTTCATAGGTAGATAATGCTACTTCCAATATAGTCAGAGCCAAAGAAGAATTGTACGACAATCAACAGAATACACCGCGCGCAAGTGAGATTGGCATTTGGGGCTCCGTACACTACTTTCGGTTTGTTATCATAACATGTAAACTTATCAACCGTAATATTTGAACTACAAAAATACGGTTGATTTGTTTGCAAGTGTGCAATTCCTTCTGGGGAAGTCGGATGAAGTTAAATTAGCTATTCGGTTTGTCTTATACATGATAAAGGTTGACAAACGAGCACACAGTCCACCTGGATAGTAAGGTGGCCCGTTGAAATCTAATTTCATCCTCGATTAACTTCAACAATTCACCCCAACCAGTTAAGTAGTCTCGTTACACTTTGATTGTTTATAATATGTTGCTAATATAAACTAATCTCGTAAGCAATGCCGTTGTACTTGCGTGTTCAATTTAAAACCTAATTTGTAACATCTAAGGGTTGACTTTAAAAATATAAACGTATAACTAATCTCCTGGGAGTGTTGCTTGCTTGTCAAATTTCGTTTATCACTACGATACTTATGAAATATTATGTACTCGATTATCTTATCGGTAATATTCTCGATTATTATTTATATTATTTTAAATGATTATCATATAAAGAAAGCATATATCACAATAAAAATACATACATGTGGAATGTAATTCTCCATCTTTTTGTAAATCTGTAATTAGACTTCTTTTTGCACACGTTAACCGCAAAAATCGGAGATCTTTAGTGAGATGAGATTTTTAGTTCAAAACTAGTTGCAATTATAGTAAAATGAACTTCAAATAGGAAGATATATAATATTTAAAAATAGTAAAATCTTTTCAATCAACCTATTTTACTCAAATAACATGTTGCCGATAAACAACTGTACTTACGTAAGTGGTATGGTATAAACGGTGTCGGGTTCTGCAATTCAGTTCCATAAAATGGATTTCGTTGCATGCTTAGATAAGAATAATCTATTGCTCTATGATATGACTACAAGATATACATGATGGGGGCATGTTTGAAGTTATTTATTTTACTATTGTTACTATCGCGAAGGCGTCCATTTTTCTTACAAATGACAGTTGATTTGATTTATCGCAGAGATTAGCGATCATAACCTCGGATATATAATAATGTAGTGATTATCTATACTCTTTACTACGTACAACCATGAAGGCTTGATTAAAAGTTGATGATAAAGTAATTTTTTATGTGTCTATTATAAAGCATAGACTTATTATACTACTGCGTATATCAATGTAATAAAGTAGGTTCGGCAGCTCCTACGTCGTTGTTGTCTTCTGCAAGGCATAGTACAATGTAGGTCTCGGGCCTCGGGGTATATCCCTTTACCCGGACATTCCTCACGGCACACTACAGTGTGCCGGTCCTGGGCGCCTTGATGTTAAGGCGTATTATATTAGCGACTTTGGTCGCAGTCGGGTAAATTTATCATTAGAGGAGGTTGTCCTAATAATTGTGTTTAAGCACAATTTATTTGTCGAGGTTGGCCTTTCTGCGGCATTGTGGGGTTTACTCGACTCCCTAATCTATATAGGCTCCTCCTTCTTTTGGATAGGGTCGCCCGTCCGGCGGCCGTGAGTGCAACGGCGCGAAGCCGTTGAGATGTTCATGTGGCCCGTTGTCGGCGTGGTCAAACATACCGCGCGCCAGCCGGACCACGAATTCATGTAGACTCTCTATCATCAGGTTGGCCGCTATGACGTCGTTTCGTACGTAGCGACCCGCACCGACTATGGTTCTTAATGACAAATACTGCTGGGGCTGAAGTCGCCGCTTCTGATAATCGCTCAGGAGTGCATACCAGGCCGGAGCAGCGTATGATAGCAAGGGTCTTATGTATGTTTTGTAAATGGTCAACTTCGACTTTGTCGGTAACTTGGATGTCAGGACAGGACGGAGCATCGCCCGCGCACATCGAGCCTTGCGGATAACAAGGTCGACGTGCGCAGCCATGCGCAACATCCTGTCGATCCGGCATCCAAGGTAGGTCACGGCTTCTAATATGCGATCTCCTGGCCTCTGAAGGTTAACGGTGGTGGTAGATTTCTATAGCGGCGAGTGAGCAGAGCGGTCGTCTTGCTAACATTGACGGCCATCCTCCACTCATCCAACCATGGTGGCAGCAGATCCGGCAGACGTTGCATCCTGGCAGCTGCAATATGGGCTCTTCTGGACGACGTGAAGTATACGCTGTCATCCGCAAACAGCGCCAGCTCGACGTCGTCCTCCCATTCGTGCAGATGCCCTGCCAGGGTATGTATGTCATTAGTGTAAGCCGCGTACAGGACTGGACACAGACAGCTGCCCTGTGGCACACCAGCTATTATGGGTTTTATTGCGGACTCGGCGTCCTCTACACAAACGTAGAACTTCCTGTCTACGAGGAAGGACGCCACTAGCCGCTATATAGCAGGAGTGACACTGGTCTTGTAGAGCTTGTAGAGCAATCCAGGGTGAGAACGCCTTCTCGATATCGAGAAAGACGCCCAACGATATGCAACCGCGGTTGTGCTCGGCCGCAAGCAGGTGCAGCACTCTGGTCAGCTGTGTTGCTGTTGAGTGACCCCTCCTGAATCCAAGCTGCTCCGCCCGAAGTTGGATGCACGGGCGGACACGTCTTAGCAATAATCTTTCACACAGTTTAGCTATATGCGGTAGCAGCGTGATCGGAGCAGCCGCCTGTCCTTCCCGGGTTTCGGCAAGACGATGATTTTGCCTTTCTTCCAGTCCTCCGGGAAGTGGGATGTCCGCAATATGCCATTGTAGAGCCGCCCTATCTCTACAAGGACTCTATTGGGCAGCTGTCGTAGTGCAGCGTTGGTAACCCCATCGTGTCCCGGCGCCTACCTCGGTTGCAGGCGGGTTGCTGTCCTCCGCAGTTCGGCGGGGGAGATGAACCACTCTCCTGCAAGCGGTGGCGCGGGCGACGACAGGAGCTCCTGCACGCGGCTCTCCTTCCGGGTGTGGATTTCCAAGAATTTCACATCAGAAGATTCACTTGCTGGGTTCGGCATAAACTGCTCCTCGAAGTGCTCAGCTAGGATATCCGCTCTGCCCTTGGCATCGTAACGTTGTTCGCCCGCGTTGTTGGTCAGCGGGCAAACAGGTGGTCGGGTTTTCGTTAACTGCCGGTTCAATTTGTAGAGCGACGCGTGATGTTCATCAGCCTTCCAAATGCGCCGCTCCCAGGCCTCTCCTCTGTGGGCCTGTATTGCAACCGACAGTTCGTCTGTTATGGTGTTCAATTTTGTTTTTTCTCTAGGGCAGCGAGTACGCGCCCAGAGCTTTCTCAACGCTTTTTTATGATTTAGCTGCACGCGTATTCTCAGCGGCAGCTCCTCATTTCTCCCCGAGAGAGGGACGATCGTAGAGGCCGCGTTCGGGGCCCCCTGGATGCTCGTGGTTATCCTGGTTGCAGCGGCCTCTACGTCGTCCGCTGAGTGGATCGGTGTGTGGACTGGAGGTCTCTCCTGCAGGTGTTGGTGGTAGAGCCTCCAGTCGATCTTGGTCTTAACAGCTCTGGGCGGCGAAGTCACTGCCTTAGTGCCAAGGGTTATCAGAATCGGGAGGTGATACAGCACTTCTACCACTACTGGGTAGTTGACGTTCCTAGTGAGCACGATGTCCAATACATCCGGACGCTTCCTAGGGTTTGTAGGGATGTGCGTCGGTTCCTCGGGACCTGGCAGGTTGATCAATCTTGACTCCCACGCCGGGTGTTTGGCGTTCAGGTCCCCAGCGATGATGGTGGGTGCCGTACCTTCCATTACCGTCCGGAAGTCTGAGGAGTGAAATGGAGTCCCTGGCGGGCGGTATGCTGCAAAGATCCTTAGTTCCTCGCCCGTCGCCTCCATTTTTATGCCGATTGAATGCAACGTCTGGAAGTCTGGTAGGTCCAGCTCCTGGTGGACGATGTCTCTCCTCACCAGAATCGCTGTCCCTCTATAAGCGATCCCTTGAGGATCGACCTCGTCCCTCCTGTAGATAGTGTAGTTAGGAAGCTTAAGATGCGTTGTTGGTCGTATTTTGGTTTCACCCAGCAAGATCACCTGGATGTCCTGTTGCTGGGCAACCGTGCGGAGTTCATGGATCCTTTGTCGAATCCCGTCCGGGTTCCAGTAAAGCAGACGCAGGTTACTGTCCTCCGTAATGCCTTGCGAGTAGCGTTGCCAGCGCCTAGCGTAATAGGATCTGTCCCGGCCCTTATGTCGGCCAGGACGTGTGTGCCGACTTCGATGGCTATGCCTACCAATCTGTGGATGGCATCAGCCGTCTCGAAGCCGGACGTTGGTGGTCTACGTTCTGAACTACGTTGAAGTGAAGGCACTGGTCTCGGGGCATTTATGGTGGTCTTCTCTCTCTGGGTAGAGCGTGCTCTATATGTAGAGCGGGCTCTCCTTTCTGGTAGAGCCCTCTCTGGTGCTCTACCCGTCGTGGTTGTTGGTGGTGGTCGTGCAGTAACCTGCGCCTGCGAGGCTATCGGTCCTGTAGTTGTGGGGGTAGAGGTACCCACAGCCTGAGGAAGGGGCTGTTCGGTTTTCCTACTCCTATTCCTCCGCCTCTTCCTTTGGGAGGGTTGCCTCTCCGTGGCGTTGTTGGCAGGAGGTTGGAGAGTCGCCCCGGTGGTTGCCCTTTGCTCTGTGGGTTCCACCGTTTCCATTGGTGCTGTAGGAGGGGGTGGGGGGGGGGGGCTGGTTGCCTACCCTTTCCTCTGGTGCCCGTGGCCCACCCATCCTCCTGAATGGTAACAGCCTTTGGGCGACTCTGGGGGATCCGCTTAGGGTTCTCCGGGAGTAGCCCGGGTAGAACGATCCCCTGCTTCCTGGCAATCCTCCTCAGGACTGGGCAGCGGCGATCGTTGGCCGTGTGGATTTTGGCGCAATTTGCGCACTTTGGCTCTTCCTCTCTACCCCTAAGGCAAAGGCTGGTAATATGCTCCGCGGCACAGCGAACTGTTATACGGAGACGGGCTAATAGGTTTTTAAAAAAAAGATTTATTTAACACTGAAATTTAATTGAGTATAAATGAATTAAATATTACAAACTGGTTGGAAATTAACTAAGGTCCGTAGACAACCGAGCAGGTTCGAAGATGGAAGCAGACTGACTTGGCCGAACTGCTCCACTGCTATACTCACTGAACCTTAAGGCTAAGTCGACATTATTAAGGGGCAGTGCAGCAATAAGGCTAACAAATACGGGGTATAACATCCCCCCCCCTTAAGAAGAGATTTTAGGGATGATAACATAAAATCTCTAGATACTACTTAATAATAATGACATTAAATTTGGGTTCTAAGCGGTGCAATATTATCGGATTCAGAATTACTACTTTGTTCAATTTCAGGTTGTATAAATTTTAAATGAGGCCGAGGTGTAGTTTTTATGAATTCCACTTTAGGAGTGATTTTACTATTTTTATTTATAAGGCGAGTGTTACGGAATCGATGTAAAAGCTTAAAACCCAAATATCCTAAATACAACAGGATTAAAATAGAAATTATAATAATAATGGTAGAGTAATGTGTCCCATATTGAATAATGTGAGGTTTACTTTCTATTATTTTTAGATTACTTAATAAAGAATCAATATTTAATTTATTTTTTGAATTAAATTCGTCTAAGTCTATATTTTGTAACTTTATAGGAGACATTTTCTACAACATGATTGAACTTATTAATATTACAACAGGTGTCATTGATAAGGCTATAATTAGGCATATAACTTATGGGCGAGGTAATATTTAGAACATTATATTTAGGTAACAATGTAGTGCTTTTACAAAATCCGATACAACCATCGGGAATCGTAATTATGCCTGTGCCCAGAATATTTGCTTCAAATAGTTGAGAATTCATACAATCTATAGAAATTTTATTTGGATCGGATTGAACATAAATCCACTTATTGTTTATTAATGGTTTCCAGA